TGTTCCATGTACCTCCTCCATTTATTTAAAATTAAATTATTAAAACATTGGCTATAATATAATCTAGTAGTGTACTATTATATTCCCGACAATGAAATACATCTATGCAACAAATTCCATTCACTCACCAAACTGTCTACTTATATCATAAACCTCTACATAAATATCTTCATAATTACAGTACAAAATATTTCAAAAAATTTACGTACACAACAAACCTTATAACAACCATATTTCCTTTAATATCACTGTGCACGACATCACACCTTTCCTAACTGTTAAGTGAACATACAACTAACTCTAACTTTAAATGTTTTTCTTTATGCACACTCCACACAACCTTCACCCACCGACAGCACTTAAACATTGCCAGCTATTGTCAAGTGGGCTATTGCATCGTTGATGCTCTCATTTGAAACCCCTGGCGGTCAGAGTGTTTATAGTGGTGTCCCAAAGGAGGGGTTTTACTGTGGTTCTTTTTTTTAATCAACATATTTCTATTTGGTACTGATGATGAGTTGTGGAGTAGTTCCTTCAAAACATGTTGGCTGGTTTTTTTTGTTTTTATTACATTTTGAAAATGAAGCTTGTTAATGGATGCATGCTGAAAGTATTATTGTCCTTGAGATTAGTAACTTGTAATGGCTGTAGCTTAGATCCTACACTCGTTTATTTTTGGACTTTCTAATATTTTTTTACATTTTTTTTTGTGTGTGGCATATTGCTACTTATGACAAATTAGTGATAATATAACATTAATGAACAACCAATTTGAAATATTCTTATTGTTAAGTAATAATAAGAAAGTAATAATATTCCCATTTTTCCCATCTTCATCAGAAATAACCTGGGAGATTTACCAATAGTAATTTAGGTAGTTCCTTACTTCAGTTGACTTACCTTTCAGGAATTTTAAATAGGGGGGCACAAGCTTAAGGAAGCAGACCACAGACCACTGAGAAATATGGCTTTGGTGTAGACCTCTAGATTGCCGAAATTGACACTTTCTCGCAAAAAATTAAGGGAAAGGGGTTGATTGCTTATAGGTCCACTTCCTCTCCCAATTGAATTTGTTCCTTGTTTTGTTGTCTATTTCCATCTTCCAAAACAGTTTTTTTTTGTTATTTGCCTCCTCAAAGGTGAGAAGCTTTAGGGAGGCAAGGAAAAGTGTAGTACCTTAATAGAATGGTCCTCTCTAATAGAATGACTCCATTAATAGGACCACTAGTAGAATCAAAGTGGAGTTTGCAATATCATGATTCACTTAAATATAAGAAAAATATCATCAGTCATAAATTTTCTTTATGTCCTATTTTCTTGTTTTAAGTATATTTTCTTTTAAACAATATTATGTTTTCTTTTCTTGTAATTTTTTTTCCCCAGATTTTGCTTTACCAAGAAGAGAGTTTTCTGTTAATTGTTTTATAATATTAAAAAGGAAAAATAAACTTTGATTTGATATTTTTATTTTGATGTGTACCAATGTTTATCAAGCTTTCCTTCATATTATGGTTTCGCTACTTGCTAAAGTACAGTATAGTAGTGTTTTTATTGATTTATAAATTATTCTCTTTAATGTAGTGTCACTCTAAGTGACCCAGCACTGATTTCATTAGGGATCACATAAACAAGAAAAGAACATTTAGAGCAAGTGAACTTTCTATAATTCTGAATGCACTGTTTTAAATTTATATTTTTCTTCTTTTCATCAGTCAATGGAAAATCTGTCTGCATGTCTCAAACTGAAATACCTTGATTTGTCTGATAACAGCATCTCTGCAATTACCAACATTTCTCTTTTGACCAGCTTGAAGGTACAGTACTGACAACTTAAATTCATCTTAGTTTTGTGTTACAAGTTTTCATTGAAGAATTTAGGAGCATGTTTGTAATTAAAGCCCCATTCCCGGCAAAATTTCAGTTTTGAAGAAAAATCTAATTTTTGTATAATGTTATAAAGATTTATAAATATAATACGGAATTGCTAGTTTAACTGAATTTAGACATTCCTAAGAATGAAAAAAATGTAAAATAAGACTGAAATTTGATTTTTTTGTGTTCCACACAAAAAATAAATGCGGATGAATTTTTGTTGATTTTGCGATAGGTCGTGAGAAGAAATATCGTAGACGCCGAAAACATTAGCCTATCCAACGCTGCTAGGCCTAGCTTTACCTCGATTTAGGTTCTGTTATCACACATAAAAACGGCGAAATGATATTTTCCGTTGCTAGTATTGACACTTGTGAATATAATATTTCATAGGAATTATGTCAAATTTGTTAAAAAACTGATTCTGACTGAGATTTTGAAACTTAAACATATCTCAGCCTAACCGAACGACCGCATTGTGCGAGATGCGAAGTACAAAAAGTAATCTCATTAGAGAGGGCGCACTTTATTGACTGTATAAAGTATACATAAAAGCGAGAGTATTCCAGTGGATGCGATCTACAACCTCTGAATTTGCCTAGTAACGATGAATTCGTCGAGAAAATGGTAATATTTTTTTTTTAATCTTTTGCGTAAAACTAAAATTCATGCCAATATTTTTCCATGATTTATAATAATTGGAGTAATGCAAATGCATATTTTCTAAAAAAAGTCAGTTTTTAGTGAAATTTTGCCGGGAATGGGGCTTTAAAATTTCAACTTTTCAGTGCAATTTAAACATTTACCAGCATTTTTAACACTTTATTTATTCAATTCAATTCACAAGGAGCTACATTTTGTAGCCGAAAGGCCAATTTGATTGTGACTTTACAGACTTAGTACATAAAAATGTTAAGGAAAAAATATATAAAAAAACCCAACAAAAAAGTAAAAAGTGGACCAACTTCATTGATCTAAGAGATGGGAGCAGCCAGTGTCTCAAAAAGCAGGGTGACTATGAGATGGGACTATGAGGTGTTGAGTAGTTGTATGTAAGGTCGGCCTACTATGATATGGTATGAGAATCTTTTGGTTTTACTTTTAAGCTCTAAACAAATTAATTCCATTACAAGGATTGTTGTAACAATGTACTTTGGTGCGCTTCTTTTCTTGTAAGTCCAATCAGTCAGACATTTAACTGATTAAAGTACAACTGTGAAATGAAATATTGGATATGATTCATTAGTTGTTTACAGCAGTTATGCCCATGTGGCCAATGTTGATTTATTTGTTCTTTATACTGGGTTACCTCTTCAGTGTTACTGTTCTCCCATGAATAATTATGTAACTTTATTTTTAGCTCACAAATTTAGAGCAATTTTCCCTGAACAAGCTAAGAATCAAGAATACTTTATTGTCATTGATCAAACAATTAAAGTCGTTTTGCCATTTGTGAATAGCTGATATATACAGTACATAGCATAGGCTTAGCCAGCGAGCCGTCCGGCCGTCTTTAAGACGGCCTACAATTATTTAGGATGGCCATTTTACTGTGACGGTTTGGACGGCTTGGCCTAATCAGCTCGGCCTAGCCTAATTGTGCCTTTAGCAAATTCTTTATATTCTTCAAATCTATCGAATGTTACATTAAACTAAAGCTAAATCATATTTACGTTTGGTAAAAACAATATTTATTGGTTGAATGTACATTGTTTTCGTACCAATATTCGGTGGGGATTCCCAAAGATGGGCGTGGCCCGCCCATCGGCTCAGCGCCATGCCCACTGTCTTTTACTTTTGGACGGCCTATTTCGTTTTTCTGGCTAAACCCCTAATACATAGGACCAGTGACTTTCATTCATCTGAAGGACATCATTTAGAATTAAAAATTTTATGTGAAGACATGAAATTGGTACATTTGGACCAAGAACTGTGTGAGCCATAGCCTAATCCCTACCACGGAGTCACCACGAAAGTATGTTGTATCAAAACAGATGTTAAAACATTTAATATGATTCATTTTATTGTCAAATTTAATGCTATACATACAATATTGTTTGAACATTTGCATGGCGATGTTATGTAATAATAATAATAATAATAATAATAATAATAATAATAATAATAATAATAATTATAATTCTGGATTTATATAGCGCCTCATGTTGACACAACCTCGAGGTGCTTAACAACAACAGACAGGAAGAAAAAATTAATTAAGTTCAAATGATTGGTTTGAAGATTATCAATAATAAATGCTTGCGTCACATTCTGAAAAGAACTGTTTGTTGATAATGTCTCAACGTTTCTATTGAGTTGCTTCAGTCGTGATCAGAAGAATAACATCTGCAGAGAGTACAAACAGGGAAATACTTAAATGATTGGAAAGTGATAACTTTAAATAGATAATAGATGAAAAATTCTATCCTATGAGTATTATTTACAAAAGATATTTTTAGGAGCTGTGATAAAGTTCATTAAAATAGTGTTTCCGAGGGCAGAAAGACAGTGTTGCCCATGCACGATGACTTTTAAACAATCAGGGTCGGTCGGTCAAACGTTGGTTAAAAATAAATTACCACCATAAATCCTGGTTTATATACCATGATTTTGTATACTGAATTTTATTTCTATGGTTGGAGTGCAGTTTATAAACAGGTAATCAATCTATATTAAAATGATTAAAATGCATTTCATGGTTTGAATACGTTAGTCTGCACCTACCCTAACTGCTTGTTTGGAAGGCATTGCAGAGAGAGATAACAAAAACACTGATGCGATTTCACAATACAATAAAATTGAAATACAATAAAAAGATATTTTATTTATACTCACTGAAATTGATATACTGTTGTACTATTATCCAATTGTTGTAAGTGAAAATTGAAAATAAAATATAAAATTTGTTTGTTTGAGTAACCTAATAACATTGTTTCTGAAACTGATGGCTTTCCACCTCAATATACAGTAAGTGTATGTGTGATATTTTTAGATTTTTTATCAGCCTTCAGCATATTATCTCACAGTAGAATAATTAAAAGGCTCAACATGTACAGTGTTATAGGCTGTATCATTTGTATATTTATAAAAATTCTCAACAAACAAGAAAACAAAGTGGATCAATGTTTTATCTGGAGTCCCTCAATTATTGGTCTTGGATCGCTTCTCTCCTTCATGTTTGTGACATTTAATAGCATATCTTACTTAGGTGTCTTCATCATATTTGCTCATATGTTGAATTTGCGACTGGTTATCTTCTGGCGAATTATCTCAGATAACTGAAATTCTCCAACATTAGAAGTTTCTTCTCCTGGGCTCCCTAACAGTGTGGTCAGTATTGGATAATCCAGAATTAGTAGCTGCTGTTCTGATCAGATTTGGTACCAAGTGTCATGTTTTACGGTTTTTGTCATCATTGAATAATAGTTTGGTTCACTAGAGTTTGGCTGTCTTACAATGTGAGCAGCAAATTTGACCTGTTGCCTCTTAATATAAACTAATAAGTTGTCAGATTTTAGATTTTTAACAATCTATATCATTATTTCAGTTTGCCGATGATCAAACTCTATCTTGCCAAATCAATATTAACATTTTAGAGACTTTTGCTCTTCAGCAAGATCTCAACAGGATACTTGAGTGGTAATTTAAGATTAAAGCTACAGTAAATTTATCAAAAATTAAAAGTACATTATGAAATTAGATATAAAATTGCTAAAGATTACTTAGAAACAAGTGTTTTTATTAATAACAAACTCAAATAAGTTTCTTTCAAAGTCAGCAAAAATATTAGAATTTAAGGAAGTATAAGAATTGTTGTGGTCTATAATTACAAAACATTAGTTCTTCTACAGTAATTATTGCATAGTATCTGCAATTATACTGTAATAGCAGACTTTTATAAAAAAAAAAAATATGGTAAACTTTCATTAGCTACAACATAATAATGTTGATTTTTTCATGAAGAAAAAAATAATTGAATGATGAAACACCTGACATTGCAGTAGACATGTATACTTTAATTTGAGAAGATTGCAATTCTTGAAAATTAAAAGGTGGGGGTGTTTATATTTAAAGGAGAAGTTTACCAATAATTTGGGAACTGATTTAGCATACTCAGTTACGTAATATCCCAGTTTTTAAATTACAAATCTTGTGCATGTTCATTACGTAGATGCTGTCAGCTAGATTTGTGATGACATAGCAGGTTCAGCGAAGTTAAGAATGATTCCCAGACGAGTTCTTTGTATATTACTATTCTTGTATTCATAAAAGTATATTGAATGGCTTAGACAAATAATGAAGAAAAATTATTGTACTGTAGGCCTATATATGAAGAAGATATTTTGAAGAAAGAATGATGAATGTATGTATAATAATAAGCTGTATTTACATGCCGAAAATCTTAGCGAATTCGGTCCTGCTACCCGACCTACTCGGGTAATCGATCATCCAACCCCTGTCACAAGTGACAGATTCGCTACTTACCTAAAATTTATTACTCGTTGCCGGCGGCCTGCGGAGGTCGCGTACTAGTGTATTGTAGTTAGGCCTAGGAAGGTTAGTGATCTAGAGTGAGCAAGAGATATTTCGTTACAATGGTCAATCACGGCAAACGCAATGAATAAGCGTACAATCTAGGCTACAACAATTAATACTCTTAATATTCCTACATTTTCAATAAAAAGAAGTTATAATCGGGAGCGCATGTTTAGGTGTGGTGCGATGTCAAAAAGTGCATTGGAAGTCCGTAACGAACAGAAGCAACTACTGGATTTCCCGCAAATATTTTTTTCTTGGAATTGTTCTTCTTGTCTATACCACAGTATAATTAAAAAGAAATTACAAATCGTGTTCACACCTAAAAATCGGGAAAATTACGATGCATAACAAACAAAAATAATAAGATTGAACTGAAGCGCCTACCCCTGGCATCCCAAGACCG